GTCACAGAAGGGTAGAAAGCTGCCCTTTGGAGCTTGGAAAACAACTCCCACAGGCTGCTGTGAATGTTTTCCCTCAACAGAAGGAAATTTTCCAGAATTTGGGGGCTGATTGCAGCTTAATTTTCTAATGCATCATATTTAAACAGAACTTCTGTCAAGTCCTGACGTTTARCCCTACCAGCAGGTCAAGCCCCCTCTGTTCCCCCACTCCCTGTAAGGTCAGCAGCGCAAAAGGAAACACTCAGCATATCCTATTTAAAAAAAAAAAAAAAATATTGCAAAAACCCAAACCAGCTTAATGTTTAGTTTGGAGCAATGCAAGTGGCTTCTGGTGTGTGAAAGGCACCTGACAGAGGGGAGTAATGAGGGCAGAGCCGAAACAGTGAACATCTCTCTGACATCCACGAGCTCCCTAAGCAGCAATAATATCTTTTATGCGTTCAGTGGACACTAGGTCGACTCGGTAAACACTTCCTCACGCAGGTTTTGGAGCAAAATATYTGCCTGGCAGGAAATAAAGTGTGTACGGCCCAGCCACCGTGCGAGGGAGACGCGGGATCCCCTGCACTGCCCTAACACCGCACAGCGCCCGGCTGACACACACGCCGGCAGGAAAGGCGATCCCCAAAGGACCCACGGACGTTACGGATTTTCACTCGTGACTCAAAAAAGCAGCAAATATCAGCGGGTCTGTCTTCAGCGGAATGCCCAAGTCGGCTGCCCGCGGTTCCAGGCGCAGGCAGGGCACACACAAGCCCGACACATGGTGCCGGTGGGGTGAGCAGCCACCCACCCCCCTGTCCTGCATCCCACCCCCCTGTCCGGCATCCTTCCCCCCTGCCCCGCACCTCCATTTTCGCGAACAGCCCCCGACCTTCCTCCCGCATCTCCTCGATTCCATCCGAAACACATTCCACGAAAAGCCCTCGGCTGGCTCGGTGTGGGTGCGCGGGGCGAAGCCGCCTGTCTGTCACCATGACATTGCAACATCCGCGCACAGCAGGGCAGGCGCCCATCGCAGGAGGGAGGCATCGCTGCCAGCGGCGAGCAGCGGGCGAGCGGGATCCCGCAGCCGCACCCCGCATTCCTGCGCACAGCCCCGCATCGCTCGCACCGCGATGGGCCAAGGGCAGCCCCATCCCGAGCGCACACAAAGGCTGCCGYGGGTACCCACCTCTCCTCCTCCATTGTGCGGGGCGGCGGCGGGGCCGGCTCAGCGCCCCGGGCCCGGCATGGCTGCGAGCGGCCGCCCCCGCCCCGGGCCGCTTCCTGCGGGAGCGGAGCGCTGCGTGCCGGGCGCGCCCGCCGCACCGACTGCCACTGCTGCCGCCGCCGCCGCGCAGCCCCCTTCCCTCCCCTCTCTTCCCTCCCTCCCTCCCCTCCCCTCCCCTCCCCGGCGGGGCTTGCGAGCGTCTCCGGGCAACGCCAGCACCGCCCCGCACCGCCCCGAGAGCGCCCGAGAGCGCCCCGGCTCCGGCTAGCGGCACTCCGCCGCTGCGGCACCAAATAGGTCAGGGACAGCCCCGAGGCGGCCCGGCGGACAGCGGCACCCGGCACAGCAGCCCCCGGCCCCGAGCACCATCCCTCCGACCGCCCGCTGGACGGAGCTCTCCTCCGGGAGGAGCCGAGTGGCCCCAAACCGCTTCCAGCCCTGCAAACTACGGACCGGACAAAAGTTTTAGTGGCTGAACATCCCCGGTCCCGAGGTCAATCCCGAGCACCGGCAGCGCAGCAGAGGAGCGGTGATGGAGAGGAAGGATAGATAGAGTCCCAGCCCTCCTAAGTCTCCCCAGTCCTGCCGCATCTAGCTTCCCGTTCCCCAATTTATCAAAACCTTCCTGTCCTTTATGCRATCTGTCAGGCCAAATGCACCCCGCATAGACAATATGGGTCCTTCTCAACTGCAGGTGCTGTTTAGCCTAAAGCACTGAACTAAATTACATTTGTCACTTTTATTCCAATTGATACAAATGCAGAGACTTTTACATAAATCTTTTTTCCCCTCATTTTATTAAAATAATTTTTCAATTGTACTCTCCAGCAGTGAGGCCTTAGAGGTTAATTGTATTAAAGACAAGAAACATTTGCTTTTTYCATTACTCTTCCATTCACAGAATGTTCTTGTGCAAAAGAAAGAGGTAACTGGAAATATCAAGAGATTTCTCTTGGAAGATGCCATTTCATCTCTTTTGTAAATAAAATTACCTCGCTCCTGTATGTTTCTCCTCAAGCCATGTTCTCAGCCCAAGTTTCATACATCTTTTTTAAAGTATCAGCAATGATGATTGAAGAGATGCCATTGTAYCTTCCACAGGACAGTTTCAAAAGCTTGCTGAGAATCTTAACTACCAATCACCCTCATTCTTCAGATAAGAAAACTTAACACACCTGAAACTTAAAAGRCTTTATCAAGGACACATAGGGATGGAGAGTCCTGCTATTTAAACACCATTTGGCTGCCTACCCATAAACAGAAGAAATACAGATAAAGMCATGAAGTCAAACCTCACACAGAATTCGGGCAAAATTCTTTCATTTTCCCTAGAGAATCCTGTTAAACYATCAGTTTAAAACATCCAGATCCTCGAGTATTTCCCAGTCTTACACTGTTCATGCACAACATGCAAAACTGTAAGACACAAGCTCAAACGTGAGACAAAGGAACTCTATAAAAATAATAGCATTTACCTCGGAAATGAGGGCTAGAGCTTGTTTCCATCGAGTAAATCCCTCAGTAATCATAAAAAGTCCAGATACAAGAGCAAGTCCTGAAATTGCTGCAAAATGCCTGTGTATTTTTATTAACACATGTTTTTTCCAATAACAAAATATTAGGCTTTCACCATAAAAATTTACATCTCACTCCAGTCAACCTGGGAGCTAACCACCTAAATTGAACCAAATCAGCAATAGCTTCTTACGTGCTTTGCCCCATGGGCTTGTGTACCAATGGATTCTACAAATCATGAGAGCAGCCACAGAAAGGTAAATCCCAGTGACAGACAAGAGCAAATGAGTGCATAGTCCTTGCTGGAGCAGGACAAAAGCATGTTCCAGTAATCAGAGATTATCTTTATAGCAGCCTTGCAAAATAATCGTGACTGGGTAACAACTCCAAGACATAAATTTCTTGTTTGTTTGTAAGTGCAAAGACTGGTATCTTGAAAAAGCATTCAGTCAAAAGGATTTAGTGACACCTGATGGGTGGAATTTTTCCAGCCTCTTTCAAAAACTCCTAGTCTCACACAGTCCTAAATTCCTCCTACATCTCATCTACCTTCGATCACTGACAATCAGAAAACCAATGCTCAGATTAGAAAGGTCCCCAGAGTGCCTGTTCCAGCCAGTCCCAGCAGCCCTCAGCCCACCTAAACCTTTCCAGATTCCTGTGATAATCATCAGAACTACACTGAAAAACCAAACCCCACAATTCCAAGAAACCACTGGGAGACAGGAGAGCAAAGCATTGCCAGTGTCTCCACAGTTGCAAGGAATTTCTTCAATAAAAGTGGCACAAAGGGAGGGAATAAAAACAATCACTACCAATCTGATCCAGAAGTCTTTCCTGGGGTTATAAGTAAAAGACATGAAGTGCTTATRAGAATTTAATTATATGAAGAGTCCAAATACAATCAGACAACACCCGGTCAAGCTCCACAGCCTCTGCAGAAGCCTGAAAGTCACCTCACCTCCCAAAAACCCAGCAGAAAGCAAATTGCATCAAATAGGTAAGGACTTGGCCAGAGCTGGGATCAGGGATGTTCTGGCAGCTKAAGTGGTAAGACCCTGGCACCGGAGCACATTTTCTAAAGCATGTGACTCCCAGAGCAGGGCTGGAACATCCACCCCAGCAATGAATCCCCCGGGATCTGCTCTCCGGGCACAWGCTGCAGGAGCCACCAGCATCACAGTGGCGCTCCGGGCTGTTGCCCTCTGCTGGCACACATCCCACTCCGTGCTCCTGCTTGGCCAGACCAGCAAAATCGGGCTTTACAACACAGTTTTCCTTTAGTCTTTTGTGTAAATCGCAATCCCTACAGAAACAGTGGGCTTATTCCAACAATTTTATAACATTACCACCTCTAGAGCAACAACCCCTGACCATCTTCACCTCCCAGCYGTGATTTCTGGGGCATCAGCCATTCCATTGCTCTCCCTACACAGCAGTTACCCACCAGCTGAAAATGTTCTTCCTGCTGCTCTTCCGACACTTTCCTGGAGCAAAAGCCACAGATACCACCCGCAGTCACCTATGTCAGGGGCACACACTTCCTGCCCTGCAGTCATATTTATCAGAAATTTGCAGGAAGATTTTCAAATAGATTTTATTGTTTAGAATTTAGTGCTCAAAAGGAAAARAGAATCAGGAAGAAAGCTGTAAAAACAACTCTTGTGGGCACAGGAACAAAGGCAAAGGCCAGTATTCAGTTCCCTAAATGCTACCAAGTCCCTCTGCCTCCTGAGAGTCTGTACCTAATGAGAGTACAGTTCTTCCTGCAGGCTGAGATAAACACTGAACTTGAGAAAAATTATAGGCAATGGAACAAAAAATAGGATTTTTTTCACCAAAATTGTTCTAATAGGATATATTTTTAATGTGGTTCTTTATAATACAACCCTTAATGCTTCCACTACTACCTTCTGTAATAAAGGGAAATAATCCATGTGCTTCATAAAGATATATGGCTTAATTAATATTTGTATAGTATAACTCAGTGAAAACAGCATAAACAAAGATACTCTCATTCAGGATCTCAACACCATAACCCAAATCTCTTTACTGTTACTCCCTGTACACTCATTGTCTTGCACTCTTCCTGGAATTTTTAAAACATTTCATTTCTTGCTCTTTGCAAAAGTCAAGAGATAGCGTCTACCACCCTCATACTGCAACATCAACACAAAAGATCAATCCCACAGCTGCCACACACAAAAATTTAGGCAGGTTTCTGCAGGCACATTATTTTACCAAACAGAAAAGCCTGTCTCAGGCAGCATACCTTCCTCAGAAGTAATAGATTGTCCTTCATTATCCTGCTTGGTATTTTGTGGGCAAACCTCTTTTTCTGTTCAATATTCCACAGCATATACAGAGTAGGAACTGCATGTCTGGGGCTCAGCTCGTGTTTCTGTTCTTCCTGGAGTTTCGTGGTGTGCTTTTCTGGGCTCAGCTTCCCATCCTCTCATGCACACAGAAGTGAACCCTGTGAGGGAGAAAAAAAAACACATTTTGAGAAGGCATTTGAGAGTGTGGCATCAGCTCATTGCAACACTTTTGGCACAGAGCAGCACCAGCACTAAAACAAGCCCAGCTCTTCCTTTCGAAGGTGATGTTTCTCAACTCCCTCTCATCTGACTCCCCAATACATGGAAACCAAGAGCTYCCCATTGCCACCACCTACACGCAGAGCCATCGTAAAATTTCCAAAACACACGTGGTGCTGATTCATCACCAAGCTCACGCCTCAAAGATTTAAAAGTAAAATTGATACCACAGAGAGGAAGTTGAGATTTTAACTGGTGCTGGGTGACTAAAAGAAAATTTTCATAACAACATCTAAATGATGTCATCTGAGAAAAAATAATTTGCCTGCATTTAAGACTGCAGAAAGTAATGGACAGATGGGCTTAAAGGGAAAAGGCACATTGACTGCAAGGGCTGAGCTCCTTTGTGCTCCTGGGAATCTCTCTTTTCCAGGAGGATGMATCTCCATGAAGTAACAGTAGAAAGCTGGCACTACTCTTGCAGAATGCAGCTGCCTGTAACCAAGAGGCATTAGCAATGACAACTACAAACATCCTGCAGTCCAGCAGGGATCTTGGGGGAGAAATCCTGAACTTCCAGTCAGGACTCAAAGGAGCTCTCTCCAGTAAATGGAGCATCATTACTACAGCAGTGGTAGAAAGAAAATAATTAAGTCCAAATGAAATCTCACAGTAAAGGACTTCGGCCAAATTTGTTACCCAGTAAACTTAAAAGATTACTAAAACCTGAAGAAGTTCTAAATAAGCACAAGGAGAGTATTGGGAATTTAGAATCAGGAATCTTCACAATGCTGCCACCCATCCCAGGAACACCCACTAAGCCCAACACCAGAGGATATCCCTTCTGAGAAGGGAGGGGATCTGGAGGATGAAAATGAAGTAAACTATTTCAAAACACAGCTGATAGTGCTGTGCTTGTATACAACAACAAGGTGAGCACAGCCTCCCCCCAGGGCCATGCCCTGCCCATGCTGCAATTTGTTACCAGGGTGTGTGGCTGGGAGAGGGAGGATTTCCACTGGAGCTGGGCTAGTGTGCAGTAAAGAAAACAAGATTACTGATCCACAGAGAAAATGTCAAAAGCACATGAACCTCCACTCCCAAACTACTCATGCATTTTTTCTAGCWTTGCTTTAATCCAAGTCTGTGCTGGAAAAAGGTTCAGCTCCCCTGAACTTTCTTCCTCCAGCGACTACACTTATGCTTCCTTCTCCCCGGGGTTTTGTGGAAAGCAAATTCTTACAGAAGAGAGAAAGTCTATTGTAAAGCTACAGAAAGCAACAAAAATTACAGAAATGACAGAGGAGACTGAGATGATATTCATCTTTTATATTAACCAGGTTACAGGCTAACAGCATGTTTTCAGATGAGTGGCTTTGCATCTCTTTAAATTCAAATAGCATTCCCAGGAAAACAGGGCTTCTGTGAGACAAACCAGTTGGCAATTCCATGGTACAAAGTAGCATTTGAACAAAYGATGTACTTTCAGATTCGTGAGCTCATTTTGCTTCTAAGGAATTTTTCTGCAATGTTAATCAGTGATTGGTACTTTGATGGTGCTGAGCAAATGTGCGTCTTGACACATTTCCAGCCAGAAATGTAATTCCTTTCTAAATTGGCAGATTCCTCACTGCATTACTCATGAAAAGAGGTATTTATAGTAGTTTAATGAATATAATATGTACTAAAATTGTACATAGCTCAACATAGTCCAATTTTTTTTTTTTTTAAGAAGAGGTATTCTTTCAAATCTGCRTATTTTCCATCTGCGAAAGCATTTGGGAATGAAACCCTAAGCATCATGCTAAGAGGGTTAATATCCAGATGCCTCAGACAGATGGCATTATTAGTCTGCCTGGGCCTGACATCTAGTTTTCCAAGTTAAGGAGCTTTGGTTATCCCTTGGATGGATGACAATCTGAGAATAGCCAGGGCTCTAAACCCGACGTTTACTGTAACAGCAACAGGCAACATTGCAGCTTTGCCTGACAGACTTTTAGCAAAAAAAAAAAAAAGTTGCACCAAGATTAACCACACTGASAATGTACTTCAAAAAATGCTGCTGCAGCTTTAGGTTAGGACTCCTACTGGCAAAGGCTGAACCACGGACAGAGAACAGTAGCTGAATTTTATTTTTTATGCTGGTTGTTATTTTTCCTTTTGCTACAGCCGAGACCTGAATAGTACAATCTTTTTAACTGTTCAGTCTATAATGTAGATAGAACTACAGGAAACAGAAAAATCTRAAGAATGTCTCTCTTCTGTAGGGAACTACAACTTTACAGTCATTGTTCTTTCAGGGTTCCCATTATCCATTTTCCAAGACAGATGATTTTAAGGGAAGGGGAATATAGATATCACTAAAACAGTCTGAGAAGCATATGARCAAGAGGTATCAGTTCAAAAGTTACTCTTTCCTCCCATTTATATAGAACAGAAACTGCTGAGTCCTGAGAGCAGAGAAGGCAAAAAGACTAGGATTTGTCAAAGTGAACAACRAGAAAAACACCCAACTCCACCAGCCCCTTTACAAGTCCTAGTATASAGGTGAATAAGACAAAATTCCGAGGGAAACAAATACAGCAGAAAGGCTTTCATCTTATAAAGAGAAATACACATCTGGCACTCATCAATAGCAGTACTTACATTACAGCACAAATAAAGACTCCTTAAAGGTAAGTGGAAGTAGGGATAACATCTGCGTGTGCATATACATACACATTCCAGCAAACTAGAGTAGAAATGCTTCAACAGGAGACCTAAAAARTGCCCATCAACAAAAGCAAATAGTGCTTGCTCAGGCTTGCTCAGAACTCCTTGTGTTGTGCTTGCATTGTGAAATACATTTTCAAATGAAGCAGGAATACAACTGTTTTATTCATTAAGAAATACAAAAATAACAAGCAGAAWTCTCATCTTTGAGGGACACATACACCAGGTCACAGCATCAATTTATGCAAACCATGTTAAATAACCCATTGTTGTGTAAACTACACCTCTGGCTAATGTGGAAGACTGAAAATTGAGTGTTACACATTTAATCACCTACTATTAATCCAAGGTATTACCCATTGACAGTTTRAAAAACTATTGAAAATGCCTTCTTCCAAATTGCTCAGAAAGTAAAAGCCTGTAACAATGTAAACCACATAAATGTGGTATGACCTGTTGATTACATGATAAACACTAATCCATAGTAGCTACAACAGGTCAAACAATCCTAATCTAAGGCTTGGATAAACTGCTTTCTATCAGAAACCCAACCCTCTCACAGACTGTAGGAGCAAAGCTCCACTCTCACAACACACCATGTTTTGTTCACATGGGCACATCACAGGGGTGTCCTTCAGGCTATTTTATTAATTAACAATATAATGATTTAAGCCAAACTTTTTCATTTTAGAAAAAACATTCTGAGGTACATAGAAGAAGGAAGCTCCTCTATTTTCACTCCTGAATGGGAGGTTGAGGTCCTCAGCATCACTCCAGCTCAGACCCTTTTCAGTAGCAGTGGGAATGCCATGTTGGGACAGTAGTACCAGCTGACACAGCAGKATAATAAGCAGTTTTTTGAGCTACACCATCTGCTTAGATCTTTCAATGCTAAATGAAAGCAAAATTTTCTTTACAGAGATCTAAGCTGGGGGGGAAGTGGGGGCAGCGGCAGGAGGACACCATAAAGCATTTGAGAACTTTTAGCCATTTTAAGTATTTCTGCTTCACAGGTCATTAAGTCTGTATGTGCAAAGACTCTGGTAGAGCTCAGGCACACCTCCTGTCAYTGCCCAGCTGTGCACACCCCCATCTCCCCACAGGGCTGAGCTTCTGGGAATGGGACTGCAGCTCCCAGAGCCAGTACTGGAGCCTGGACTGCAGCTGCACTGCAGCCCTTGCCACACTCAACACAACCCCAAAAGCTCACTCAGTTCTGGAGGATAAGGACTGTCCACCCAAGTTACTACAGAAGCCTGTAGGGCAAGACACAACTCTGATTTTCAAGTGTGTCACACAATCAGTGACGCACACATTTCCTGCYATCCAAGTTGTTACCACTGTTCTAAACCACCTTCTCAGTACCTAATGTTAAACACATGGGAGGTACTTCCACCGACTTGTGCAGGTATCATTGCACTGCATATACAGGTGTTTAGCATGCTTCTTTTTAATGCAGTAGTAGGCAGTATTATAAAAGTGAAAGTTAGGCTAGTTTTATTAGCCAAATAAAATTTACAAGTCAAGAACAAATTATACCTTAGAGTAGACATGAATACCCATTACTATAAAAAACTGTATGTACATCACAACACACTGAGTTCAGTGACACTGTAGTCTGAAAAGTTTGGTTTGGGGAATTCCATTTTGGTCATGCAGATTACAAAAATAAAAGAACATCTCTGTTTTAAGAAAACTACCACATTTTTACTTYATTAAATGCTGAAGGCAAACTAATTGATCTTACTTTCTATTTCTCACAGGTAACACAAGAATAATCCAACATTTGGTCCTGAACAGAAGGCCATTAAATTATTGAGATAATTTCAGACATAGGAACTTCAGAACTCAACTACAAACTAAGGAACAGCAAAATAATGTTACTTWATTTCTATCTTCATGACTTTCCTAAAGCAACTGTGAAGTCACAAACGTACTTACATGCCAGCTATAACCTTATTTCATCTCAATCCTTCCTACGCACCTCTACAGACAAATCCACCCAGGGGTCAGAAAATCATTAAATACCATTAAAGACAAAAGCGAAGCTTTATCAAAAAATCTCTTATTACTAGGAACTGTACTAGAACCAGGTTTCTATTCCAAGAGAGTCAAGTCACTGTGTCTTTAATGCCACCSAATACAGAACTGCACTTTTCTATTCCGTGGTACAGCCTAGCACTGCTGCCCCTTATCCAGTCAGCACTTACAAGATCCTCTCCAATGCCAC